GGATCTGGAGATAACCTTAGTGAAAAAATCAAATCAAGGCCAGTGGCTTTCAGGTTTTTAAAGTGTAGGTAAATTGTACTATAATTTAAATTGTCCAGCCTTTGTGATTAAAGGACAAACAATTGAGTCTAACCTGATAGAGAGGTTAGGCCAGCAATTATCCCCCTCCCTCCTTTTTATTTTGCTGATCTTTTGCTTCAGATACTGCTTAATCATGGGGAAAAAATTACCAGAGAAGCTTTAAAGTAAACTGACCATTTGGTTATTGTCATGTTATTGTCTGATTTGGAGGGGTTTTTTTAATTCTGGGATTATTTTTTTTTACAGGTTTGTTCTCAGTTCCCTTTTTATAGCACATTAAGGCAGCCACTTTTTCTCTGTGTAAAACCATTTCATTTAGTCTTTTCTGCTCTAACCTCAGCTAAATCATTTATTTCTCACTATGAGTAATACATGCTGCACTGTCCATTCAGAGCATGGGTCATGTAGAATGCAGAATTTAGAATTCTAGCGGGTTTTTTTTTTACATTTCCTGATAACAGAACTGCAACAATAACACATGTTATACTTTACTGGAAAATGCACAATGGAGTATTTAAATATCCTATCTCCTAAATGCTCTTTGAATTATTTGCAGCATCAGAATTATAGTATATGTGAGGAATTATTGTCACCAACACACCTGCTTAACAGAATTCTTGAGTCACTAGTTTGTAGACAAACAGTATTTTGTCATATAATGTTTCATATTTAGATTAAACATTGTTACTTGGAGTATTACACATTCAGAATAAGAACATTTAGAATAAGCGTTTAAGTTAGATGGAATTGAAACAACTGCAGTTTTCCATTTGAAAGGAAACCCATTTTAATAAATGTCACTAGAACCTTTCAATTACAAAGGGTTCATTGAAACATGGTTTCGTTTGAAAAATTCAGCATTCAGAGTGGTAAAAAAAACACGAAAACTTAGCTCTTTTGGAAAAAAAAAACCTCAAAACAATTTGTTTATCAAAACAGGCATAATACACATGCATATTTCCTCAAAGAGACCAGAGTGTCAGTTACATTTTACTGGCTTCTGTTTTACATTAGACCATTCAACACCTGGCAACAAAATGCAGTTAAATAGGAAGTGTGCTGTGAGTTAGAATGGTCATTATATATTTGGGAGACACTCTGGTTTATATATTCATAAAAACCACTACAGTTATCAGAATATCCTTGAATTACCACTCAATACCAGAAATCATACACAAAAATTTAATTTGTAGATATGCAGAGGAGCAAACCCTTAGTAGTACAAGAATTGCCTTCTCTAACAAATATAACTTCCATTCTAATGTTTTTGTGTTAACACTGTGTATTAAAATAAATGTGATTTGTCTTTTGGGGGCAGATAACATTGCAATGACATACTTTGCATGATTGTTTAACTTGAATGTTATCAGTCTTTAAATTTGAAGCCTTAAATACAATGAATGGTTTGCAAGTCTAAAATTCCACTGTCCATTCTGTACATTCAACACTTCTGATATTTCTAAGTTAAATGACAGCATATCAGGGAGCAAACTATGAGTAATGTGAAAGTCCATAGCTCATACCTCAGTTTCAAATACCTAAAGGGTGCATACATTAAAATTTCCCTCTTTGAAAAGAAAAATGTATTTTCATTTTTTAATAAAAACACATTGTCTTCACGTCTTCATAATTTTGCCCCAGTGAGCTCTGCTAAAGACAAGCCATTGTCTTACTGTATTTAATCAAATCAACATTACTAAATGCTATTGTGAAGTTATTATACTGTATATTAAATCAATACATCTAATTTTGATATTTGATTTGAATGTTTAATTGGAACTTAGTTTGTTTTTCCTTATATTACTTTTTTGCCAGCCATATTAGTTGTTGTTTATATCAAAAAATGAAATGAACATTAAAGCTGAAATTAATATGACAAGCTCTGAAATCTCTTTAAAGTGTTGCTGCAATACAAATATTGCCTTGAGTAACATATAGTGATATTGTTTTTGTTTACCATTTGTGTTTGTTATAGTCTGTGTTTTTTCTTCATTAGAGAAGAATGTATACATTTTGATGAATTAGTGCTCAGCTGTGTGTGAATTAAGTTACATCTTGAATTATTTTGTATGTATAAATAAAATAAATTTTAAAACTTTGAAAACAGAATCATGTGATGAAGTAAATGATCACTGTATGTTTGGTAAAAAAACAGAATATCATGTTACCTACATAGGAAATATCCTAATTGCTTTGAAAATAACCCTTTTTATTTAGTCTTCTCTCTTCTTAGAGGATGAGCTATAGTTTTATGGTCTTGTTTGTTCTGGTGAAATGGATGAATGAAACAGTTTTGAAATGTTGTTATAGAGGGTAGTAGAAAAGGAACCATGTCATAAATAGCATGGTGGGATTCAATCATGTAGTGAGAGGTCAACACCTCTGAAGTTATTCCAATCGAGCATGTTGGGGGACGTCTCTGGCTGTTTTATTGGTATTTGCAGTGACAAAACATCCCCTGCAAACTCTCAGTAAATAACCACGTACTCATAAATAATACAAAACTATTGAACTAGACCTTACAAATTTAAAGAATTTCTTCTCTTTTTCTTCAGCACCATGTCATTATATATAAGGAATCTAGTCATTCAGGAACATTTCAAATGATCCTCAAAAGAACCTTTGAGAGTTTGTTCTAGTATTTATTTTAATTCAGCACAACAATAGAGTAGGAAATACTACAGCTTTTACAGCTAAAATACACCTGATTTAAAATGTTTCAATCTGTGATCTGTGAAGAAACTGTGAAGATTAAATAAAGATCCTTTGGGATGGTTATCCAAAACATTTGTGTAGCACAGGTGCTCAGTGATTTCCTAGGACTGGGAAAGGCTGGGTTTTGAACTGCTTGCCAGGATCTCTTAATTACACTTAGTCTAGTTGTTATGAACAAAGAGGCAACATCCATTTGAAATGTTGCAGCTGGAAACAAGATACAGCTGGAAATTGAGCTTGTTGGGATGGCAAAACCTCCCTGTGCCCTAACTAACTCCAAAGTCTTGAGAAGGATCGTGTTTGGTCAGTGCATGAGTTAAGGCATGAGGTTTACAATACCTTACTTTTCTATCATCTGAATCTCGATTTTTTTCTGGTGTAGGAAAATATGTCAATGATCTTTCTGTTTATTGAACTTCCAAGCTTTCTATGAACTTTACATCAAATAGCAGCAGCTTGTAGAAGAGCCTTTGAAGTGGCATAGAACATAAAGGGACTGAGCCATTTTTCTCTGCCCTTGAATGAGTAAAAACCTCGCCCTGCTGAGAAAGTCAAGAGGCCTTTGGAAATGGCCCGTGCGGATAAATCCGCTCTTTCTTTTTGTTTTCCTGGTTTTCGTCAGGCAAATCATGTCTTTCCCGCTTTTCCTAATTTTAAACAGGAGTTAAAGATATTTTATTTTGGGCTTGGTTTTGTGCACACCTTGTTAAGATGCAAACTCTTTGAATCTTTTATTTAAATGTCGTTAGAAAACCTTAGATTTGTTTACAAGTAAACAAACTTGCATCGGCACCATAGATTAAATTAATAAAATGACCAACTCAAATCACACAGTTAGCAAAATAAAGAAAGGGGAAGATTAAAAGTGAAAACATTACATATTCAGTTAGACTCGGTAACTTAAAGCATTTGGTATCAGCGTTCTTGATCATACGGCTAAAAATGTCGCTACAGACTCTTTTAACGTGTTTTCAAAAACCACGTTGTACTGTGTCAGAAGCGAAGAAAAATTACATTATTGTCATTAACAACATTGTCATCGACATGTCATTTACATGACAATATCGCGAAATTGCGAGAACGTGTCGTTAAACGGCTGTTTTAGAAATAGGCCTAATCGAGTGAAAAGAGTGCAAATTAGGTGAGAATCATCACCTCTCAATACATTTTAAAAGGGGACAGTGAGCAACGATAACCTCTGTTCACCTGCTGTGTTTCAACCTGTGGAAACAGCAGCAGTCCAGAGCTATCAGTGTAAAGGGTTACTCTATCATCACATACAATATTGCCTGCCCTCCTGGAGTCACAAAGGAATCTAATACCTATACACGGTAAGCTAAGGTGAGCAGGTAACGTAGACGGTTAAGAGTGAGGGACGTATTTTTAGTAGAAATTACAGACTCAAGGCTGCCATTGAAGTGCTAAAAGTTTAATTGATTTCGCAGACGGTGATACTGTATAAAAATCCTAGAAACGGTTATTGTAGCTTTCCACATCTGTAGTTTGTAATAATATTTATTTTACACGCATATTCCTTAACAGAGAAAAGAAAGACGGGAAATTTAGCACCAGGTCTTGTATTTTTTTTTTTACTTTCAACTGTTCTGGTGTATTGTATAAGAAATGCATCTGGCAGAAGATTAAATCTGCAGGGGAATCAGATAAATTTGAAATGTTTTCCAAAGTGTAAGGCTTGGTCTGGCAACATTGTGTGTAAATGAAGATCGCCGTATAAGGGGGAAATACCATTGTTATTTTAGTTCTGTAAGAAGTGGGGTTAAAGGTTGACTTAACCAGAGGAAAGTGCGGTCCGGAGTGGAAACGGTGAACAAATGTGTTAGGTCACAAATGTATAATTTTGAGTCTGTGTTCAGGGGCAGGGAGGAATGGGCATCTATTATTTTGATCCTTTCACTATTCTTTTCAAAGTGTCTCTCTATACACCGTAGGTTAGTTTTATTGACTTAGCACATATTAGGTGGTGCTGACAGGAACAATCGATTTACAACGTGAAAAGCAGCTTCGAGCTGCTGGGTGCCCTGTAGCAGTAGATAATATTCGACTCAGGTTCTCAAGCTGGCTTCGTCAGATCAACACGCCGTGAAGAGGGCGGTTAAATGACATTTCAAGGCGCCAATGCTTGACTTCAGTGCGCCTATGGGAGGAGTTTAGGCTAGTGGATTACAACGTGGATCGTTGTATTCTTCAGGCACAGGGACCTAGAAGGCAGCGACTGGAGACGCCATCCATAGATTTCACCTTTCATTCATTGATCGCCTTCTAAAGAAGCCGCACAACAGAATAGCTGACCAAAGATTTACTTTCAAGCAGCAGCGATTTCCCTTAAAGCAAAATCAAGATGGTTAGAAGTGAAAGGCAAAAGAGAGAGCTTAAACCTGACGATGTGTTTCTGGAATCCGAGACATCAATGGATCAGCAAGATTTCAGCGAGATGTCTAGCTGTCCTTTCGACATATTTCGCTCCAACGATTCTGCTATGGACCAGATCGACACTTTTCTGAAAAATGTGCAAGTTTTGCTGGAGGCAGCAAGTTACATAGAAAATAACGAGAAGAAAAATGGAAGTAAGTGTTTGTGTCTGGAAAGGGGACTTTAAATTGTCGGAAAGGTTTTAGGAAAACTGAATTGTCATGATACCAGTCGACTCAGACAACAAAGGACTTCAGTTGAGCAGAGAACTACTTACAACTAGATGTGAACCACGCAGTGTTATAAGATTTTCTTCACATTTTTAAATAATCTAGAATTAAAATGTTTTATAAATACGCGTCTAAAGAACTCTTTTCCTGATTTTTGAAGTTCTACTGTGTATATATAGTGCATCCACGCTGCAAAGACTATTTAAAGAAATGTGGAGTGAAAAAGTTGGCACTTCAAACAGAAAGACCACTATATTTATCCTAAAGTATACGTACTGGATTACAGATTTAAAAGGAATATTTATTAACTAAATGTGCATTTTAATAAAAACTTTAGACATGTATACAGGACAAAGAACATAAAAAATAGCCTTTTGCTACACATGGAGAATCTCCCAAGTTAAATGTAATGAGATCAAATCATCATAATTTTTCAAAGTGGCAAGCAGATACTGTGAATAAATTGAGTTCGGGAGTTTCGTATGTTTTAAATAGAGTTATTGTTCTGCGATGCAACGCCCCAATAAACTTGAGAATGAATAACACTCTGCAAAACAAGCAGACGGTGACTAATTCAATAACGTTCATGCGCCAGAAAGAATGGTAAGGCACTGGCTTTTGAATGGTATAGCGTGTCTGCTACGGAGAAAGACGTTTTCCAGAACCACACGTTTGAGTTGACTAAAGGAAAACGTATTCTTTCACTAGTGGTACATCGTACCCCTTAAAAAATGCTAACTCAATCATTTTTAAGAAGAAACCTATTACTAAGAAAATCTTTATCCTTGGCATTGGATTATGCTTACATACAGTAATTATGCTGCTGGACTCGCAAGAAGAGACTGTACGCAATTGGAATTTAATAGTGTAGTAGTACGCTGAATTGTACTATACAATACTAATAATAGCAATTCTTATTTAATATTTGTAAACATCAATAATACAACAAACGCCGGCCTATACAAGGAAGCCTCGTTATAAAAGCGGAATAAAGTGTTTCATGAGGAGCATTACGCTCAGGTTGAAACATGAAGCTCCTTCACAGACTACATAAGGCCGTAGGTTTCGTAGCTTCCTAAATGCACTTGAAATCGGTGTGCGTTGATATAGGATGTAAGCATTTGATTTTGTATGCCTACGCGAAATTACACCAATCAGACCGAGTTTTACAATCTCACGCAAATAATTTTGTATCCTGTTGCTATTAATATCTGTCATCCTTAACTGATGTCGTCATTTATGCGTCTTACGGATTTCTACACAATGCAGTATTCTGAACATTTCAGATGAAAAGTCCTAAAGATAGCACTGTGGTTGTACTTTACATACTTAAAAGGGAATATCTCCGTAACCACCCTCCCCCAAAGATTACGTAATTCATCTATTTTATTTTTTTCTATATTTCCAATAAGTTGAGCGTGTTTAAGATAACCACCAAACATACAAACCAACAATCGAGTTAAAGAATTTAAAGTTACAGAATTAAACATTTAGCTTTGTTTTATGTGCGTATCTAATTATATTGGAAGAAGTAAGAACGCAGCACATAACCAAATAATTCATAAGTAACCAAAACAATAGCCTTCAATCAACTCCATGAAGCCATTTTAATATCGTATTATTCCTGCGGCAATTTATTCTGCTTCCTGGTGTTAGCTGGTGTCTCACATGGTTTCCACATGGATACAAACTCGCCCCTTGTGATTGGTCCAGCGAGAGGTCCGTGGCCGTACTTACTGACGTAGGCATCCAGTCAAATTCCTCTTCCTTATTGACGTCATGTGTTGCTGGGCCTGGCCTCTTGTGGCTGGAAAACGTGTTCAAAGCATGGATTTATGGGATATGTAGGCTTGGAACAACCTGCTCTGATTTTAAAGAAAAATATATGTACCGTATTAGGGAATAGGGAAGTCAGAACGGTGTAATTGTGGCATTATTAACAGGTAAATCACGAGAACCTTAGAACACCTCTAGAGTTTAGACATACTGCTGATAAACCTTTTAAATTGAATTGCAAGTGCATCTTGGGTACGTGCATTATAAAGTTTTTTTCATCAATATGTTTTTAACAATATATACGCCATAGAAGTCAATACCAATACTGGTTTTCTCAACAGAAGGGTGAAGATAGAGGATATATGGGTAGAAATTAAGCTGTGAAAGTAAAATCAGATACATCTGGCATCAAGGAAGTATTGAGCTTGTTTTTCTGAAGACTGGGTTGCTCTGATCAATTAGCAACTGAATGAGCAAGATAAACAGGATGACTTCGTCTCCAGTCTTATGTGCTGAAGATACTTAATGTATAAGCAAGCATATGGCTCGGCCTCTCTGAGATGCATATCGCATTTTTTTAAACCCACCGAAAATATTTTAAGAAAAGTGACTGTCATCTGTGTATCAACAATAAACTTAAGTAGGACAGCAGTAAAATCGGCTAAATCCTCAAGTCTAAGCTCCTCAAGTTCTAAATGACCTGCGATGATTAAAAGGCCACTATGCATCATCAGTACAAACGCACTGTGGGGTTTGCGAGTTCAAACATCATAGGACGCAACGCTCCCTTTAAAAATGTTCTCAACGCGAACTGCATTTCCCATAAAGCTGCGCGCGAGCCCAGTTGGATTCTCCTCCCCTGGGCTGTGAAGCCAGGTAAACAAACTGTGGGAGGAGTAGAAAGAAGCAGTAGAGACTTTGCAGGCTCTGGGCTTTCGGGGAAATTTTATATCGTTTATATCATTTTTGTACGCTTTATAGCTGACTTTTATGCTTTTGTATTTTGATGCCTTACTAGAAGTAATATTCGTAATCGGATAATTAAAAAAAAACCTCGACTTAACCAACAGTCGCATTCTTTATTAAAGAAAGAAAATAAGGACTATATTAATTCTAAAGCAATACTCTGAGGAAACACTGTTGACATTTGTATCGGATCGCACTTTTATCGGTACAAAAGAATGGCAGCTGTGCAGCTGATCAACATTGAGATATTACTGGAAGCTGCGGAATATTTAGAGCGCAGGGAGAGAGGTATGTATAGAGTCCGGGGAGAAGGAGGTTGTCTCTTGTTTTTTATGCAGAACGACGTGTGGAATCGTAATTGAATATCTAGCGTGTCTGTGTATGAGCTGTTTTTATTTTTTTTAAGAAAGAGAGCCTTAGCTTTAGATACATGTATTTCTGCAATGGCAAATGAATCCCCGATGGTTGGATGTTATATAATGGGGTTCTATCAAATTTGTAATAATTATCTTAAGATGACAGTGTGGGTTACACATGGAAATATGTGTGCACACGGGTATAGAAAAACTTTATCAATTCGATTCGCGAGCCTGATAGTACAGCAAACACAGTGTAAACCATCTTTGTTCGATTATTGTACTGTTTTAACGTCTCATTTTAACATGTTTTTTCTCGACCCGCAGAATGCGAACATGGATATGCATCGACGTTTCCTTCTATTCAGAACACAAGCTACCAGAGACAAAGGAAATTCAGGAATAAGAAATATAGCAACAACCACAACAGGTAAGCGAAACTGCGTTACAGTAATTCTCCACCAGTTTTTGGTTTCGTTTTTGGCGATCTGGTGTCGACGGATCCTACATGCATTTTCATTCTTGATTTCGAGATGAACATCTAGTGATGATTCATTCTGATGCCTAATCCAACCTTACTTTCCTCATTATAGTGATTATTTTTGTTGTTTTTATTATTATTATTGGTTCTTACTTGGTGAGATATCCTGTCAGAGAAATGCAGATGCTTATATACTGTATTGAGTGAGGTTTCAGGTGTTAACATAATACGCTCTTTTCTTCCAGAAGGGCAGTGAATATTGCTAACGGCTCTGCGCTTACTTAGCTTTACATTTAAAAGCAAAGTCGACCACAAAAAGTAACGTGAACATGTTCACAGTAGTAAAAAAAAACTTTTTTTCCACTAAAATGGGACGATCTGGTGTATTGGTTTCCCTTTACAGTGGGGGAGGGGAGCTCTAGGTGGTTTCTATCAGCTGATTGTCAAAGTATCTGCGGCTGCGCAATGCGGGATGAGGTGCGCTCGAGTTTTTTTTTCCTGTGACAAGTACACGAGTTTCCAGTATCCGGTTAAAACGAACATGTAGGAAAAAAATCACCAGCGGGATCATTTCGGCAATAAAACAACGAATGATTCTCCTGTACCGTACGAGCTTTACTAGAATCAAATTTAACTCTGAAGGGGAAGGAGTAGTGTGTCTTCTCCGCCAGAGCCTGGCTCGTCAGATGGATACTGCGAGATGATTTCCGTGTCTGATGCTAAATTGTTCGTATCATTCGATGGATTTAACAAGGTTTTATAAAGTGTCTGTATGTGTCTCGCTAAAATGATTGTCCGCTTCCTCGTGAGTTTTGTTCATGCAATGGGAGAGTGAAAACACGTGTTTACTACCAATTAATATGGAAATTAACGTTGGATAGCTTTAGTTATATCCCCAGCTGTGTTCCAAATTGTCATCTTTAAAATAGCCTACGAGTATTCTTACCATTTTACATGCATTTACTCAATGGAGAAGAAGTAATTTCTGTACCGATATGTGGGCTGGTGGTAGTGAGATTATTAGAATGAAGACCTATGATGATAAAGTTGTTTGTCCAAGGTCACAGAGCATGAGAGATTTGCAGCAGGTTTCTGGGCCTAAGAGCAGGTAAATGAAGGCCTGAAACATATTTTAGCCCTTTTTGAACAGGTACACTGAAGAATATGCTTCATTATTATTGTTATGTTGATGGGTTATGGAATTCTAGCTTGAAAGTATTAAGATAATAAAGGAAAGGATGTGCTACTATTGTTGCTTGATTTTGAGGTTTAATTTTCACTTACTCATACTAAATTGAAGGGAATGGCAAACTGGCAAAGCATCACTTAAATATTTCATGAACAAATACAATGCCAAATGAATGTAGCTCTGCCAGTGGCTCATTTAAAAAAAAAATGGATTCCACCCTAATTCTTCTGAAAGTAGGAGCCTCCACTCTTCGTGTGCTTTATTTGCTGTGCCATCACCAAAACCGTGAGAGAATTGAGCTTGAAAAGGAAATGGAATTCCGGAATGATTTACGTTGATATTGAGTTGTTTTTTTTTTACCACGTTTGTAATCTTGGTGACCTCAGATCCGTCTTTAAACTGCTGTCTCCTGACTGTTTCCCACTGTGCTGGGTAGGGTTGAAATGGAAGGCTTTCATCTCGGTGGGAGACGCTCATGCATTCGGCTGGCTTTTTTCTGTTTTCTGATCTCTCTCTTGACGACTCCCCGCTACTGTCTTTATATTGGGGAGATCAGTCTCCAGACACTTAAGACAACTATTTAATTTACACACTTTGTGTTTGCAAGTGTATTAATAACGTCTCTGCAAATAAGGGTTGCAGCTTCATAGAATCCTGGCTCTTTTGTTAATGCTTGTGGTTGAGTTTTTTCTTGTGAGCACAAACTGTAGCAGGGATTTAAAATGCTGATGCAGCACCTGTAAGAGTGCCGATTGCATCACGGTCATTCCTAGGGAAAAGGCCAGGTTGGTTGAGTCGGATGTGACGCGCGGTCCCACGTTCTTTAATGTGAGGATGCACTGAAGGATTTTTCATGACTTTCTTTTTTTAAATAAAGGGAAGTTCAATAGTCAGTTGTTAAATATTTTGGTTTTTTTCGGTTGGTCAGTTATGCTATGTGGTGTGTGGCATAAGTCAAAAAGATGTATAATGAAACCTAGGATTATCAGGAGAACTCGAGTGTTTAATTCTCCTGAAGGCAGAGTTCTATACACTTCTCTATAGTGCATTCTCTGCAGGGTGATCTTTTCTTTAAAAATCTCCTCTAATTGGCTGTATCAAACATGCACTCTCATTATTTGTCTGCTGACCCTACAATCTAATGCTACCAGTGGATGACACCTACTTATTTGAAGATAATAATGACATCTCGAAAAGGTCAAAGGCTGTTTCAGTGCCAGGTTAGGTCTCCTTCTCAAATGTAGGATGCTTAACTGGGGAAAGAAGAGCTCTGAAGGCCTTCTGTACACGTCCTTTTGGTACAGCAAAACACCGGGCCGTCAGGTCAGCTGCGTGGTTCAGGAAAAAAAAGGGGCATGATATTAATAGTTGGCAATAAAAAGAAGTGCTCACATGGCATGGGGAGCTGGTCCCCCCCTGCTGTGCGGAGCCAGAGTTTATGTAGAACCCAGCCATTTAACCATCAGGAGTGCTTGTTATCCTTCATCATGTTACCATACAAAGAAGCTCTTAGGGGATCGGCTGCTTCACTTTACATTATTAACACTGCTGTGGTTTGCAGAGCTCGTGCTGTTGGAGAGTTTAATACAGCTGTGCTCGCAGTGCAGTGGAAGGGTTTTCACATTGCTCTGCTTGGTACAGAGCCTACAAGTTGCACAGGGGCTCAGTAAAATGTTTTTTTGGGGGGATTTGTGTAATACAGAACCATTTAGGTTCTTGCACAAGGTGGAGCCATACAAAATTCATGTGAAAATTAAATGAAGGAGCATTACTGCCGGAGGATTGAATGTTGGTATTATAGACACTGAATGCATGAAGTTTTACATTTTCTCTAACGTGTGAAGCCATGGCAAAATGCTAATCCTTTGGCTTTTATTTTTGTGCTTGGGGCTGCGTCTGTGGACTTTGTGTTCTAATTTTTGTTTTGTTTTTGAACTCCTCCAGGTCTACGCACAACGAATTGGAAAAGAACAGGTGAGTTGTCTGGACTTCGCTGCAAAGTGGCATCTTTGCTTTCAAGAACTGGAAATTCCACGGTGAAGTGCTGCATAAACGTTCTTGAGAAATGGGTACGAAATGAAACGGAGAAATGATTTGTACTTGGTTCGAGCATTTCTTCCAAAAGCTCGTGTAGCTGCAACAGGTTAAAACTGAAAGTAAGACATGACCTAGATCTGCAACTAATCCAAATGCCATGTCAAGAGCATTCCCTGTTCCCTGACTCACTAAACTGCAACTGGGTCACGAGATTGGGGGCGTTGTTGCTGAGGTGTCATGTTACAAGGGTACCAGGGCCAAACAGAAGTGAAACCACTGGGTCTAATCGGCGAAACAATAGGCCAAATAGCTTTCTGTGCAGAAGTTACATAATTCAGGGAGCAGCAGGCCAGCTATAAGAGAAGAAGGGCTTCAATGTTTAAAAAGGGAATGAGGAAGATCTTCAACATGGGGCAGGACTTTGTGCTTTAAGATGAGTGTGCTACATGATTTTGAAAATCCCCTCTACAGCATACAGTATGTGGAACAAACCCAAAGGATTTTTGGTTGATTAGTGTTTCCGTAATTGCAGCTGCTTATTTGAAACTGCTTACTGGAATAAAGTCCTGTATTGGATGCCCCCCACTGAAATGAAATTGTATTTCCATATTTCCTCTTTTCCAAAATGTCTCAAACCCCTTCCGGTAATGTAGGTTTGTCTTTGAGTAAAGTAGTACCTGATCTAGCCCAAGTCACTGAGGTTCCAGCCATGTTTTCAGACCTGACCCATAAAATCTCTATCCAGATCTCACCACCTGCATGTGTGGAGGGGAGGGCTGGTCAGAGAGCTGAGCAGCTCACTTCAAAGACACATGACTGAGACTGTCTAGACCAGCTGTAATTATAGCGCCACCTTATCATACCATCTTTTCTCAAGAATGCTTCTGAAAGTGGGAAACATCACAACACCACACTGTGTGTCAGGGTTGTGTGTGGGGGGGGTGTTGTTTTTGATCTTTGCTACTGCATCAGTATAAAAGGCTGCATTTGCTTAATTATATTTACCTTTTTGGTTCTTTTTTATTAGAAATGTGTTTTAACAATAAAGGATTCTGGGCTTAGCATTTTAATCATGAATTAATAGGCCTATATCGGGAACAAAAAAGAGATTTTCTTTTTAGAATTTCTGTTTTATTTAGATAAGAGGGTGTTTTTCTTTCGCAAAGATTTCAATATCTCTGATATCACAATCTCTGATGAGTTGTTTAGTATTAAAACCAAATTTCATCAGCACTTTTACAATTAGGATAAAAAATATTGTTTTATAATATTGTATCACAAGGTATTCTTATGTAGCTTTACATAGACATAAAATAATATCACCCATATCTAAACCACATATTAGTGTACAAGATGTTCTTGTTCCTTTTGTGTTCCCCAGACCTTTAATTAGTAACTGTCTTTTTAAGAAGTTTGATACTACCCATCTAATTTTTGCCATATTTGGCTGGAGCCCTGTTGAACCTCAGTATTATCTAGCCTGACGAGAGATAAACAGACATGCACAATATGCAGTCTCACTGTAGTTGTCCCTTTGCCTGCAGAGCTGATTAACCACACAATACAGTTATCTAAACAGCCTTGATTTGTGGGAAGGGGTTCTCTTTCCCCTATTGAAAATGTCTGTTTTGGCACCAAAAAGCCATGACCCAGCTGTGTTAACAGATGCATGCCGTACAAGGGGAGGACAGGTCAAATAAAGAATGAAATCAGAACTGCCTTATCTACTCCAGCAAAGCAGTTCTGTAACATGTTCCCTGGTGCACAGAGCTGAAATGCTCTGGGTGCCTATCAACACCTGAATGTCGAGTGAGTCTCAGGGTTATCCTGTTGTTTAAAAGAACACTGCAGAATCCAAAGCACTTTTTAATGCTGTATAGATGAATGGGCACAGAGATGACCAGTATCTGTTTCTTTCACCACTTTGCAGTCGCTCTTGCAGGACAGAAATCTTCTAAAGATGAAGTCACATCAAAGAAAATGTTAACGTTAAATGTTAAATAAAAAGAAAAATGATTTGGTTTTAAGACAGAAAGTGTAACAACCTTTAGTTTGGTTATGGGAGAGGGGAGATGAGCCCCATTCTGCGTTTAAAATGCATCAAGCAATCCAGGTAGACTCACTGGTCACTGGTTTTGAGTCTCTGACAGTCACAAATTAAGAACAGTGAACGCGTTACTGTGATTGCCATTCGTCATCATTATTACATTGGTCTTGGTACATTGCAGATTAAGGTGTACATATAGAATTATGAAGCTTATTATAGCAGTGCTGGAAATTTCAAAAAATTTTCTCAACCCCTTTCACACAGTCTAAGCGATTTAGAAAACAAAAAGTTTCTTTAGTTTTTTTTGTCCTTATGGGATTTAAAGAAAGTTATGTGATTTTGGAATGCATACATGCCATTTTGTTTCACTTTTATTGGTCATGTTGTCATGTTACAGCTTAGCATTGCCAGATCTCTTTGTCCAACAGAAAATACAATTTTGTCCACATCAGAAAAATCGCAGCTCTTTGAGGTTATACTGCTCAAAATGGTCCCTAGCTTTTCACCCGTTTGTCCTTCTTTGTTTTCATTTTTCTTCATTAAACAATGACACTGGAGTTTGACTGAAATTAAAATGATAACTTCAACAACGGTGGGAACCGCAATGTTTGGGATGGGTTTAAGTTTCCCAAATGTGTCCTTATGTACTGTACATGCCAGACTGGAACCTGGAATTCTACGGTTAGAAAAAGGGAATATTACAGAAAATGTCAGAGCAGGACAATCAATAACTAAAATAAATAGTCATACCCCCAAAATGCAAATATTTTGCCAAGAATATACCCGAGTGGTTGGTATAATTACAGGTACCTGAGTTCTTTGTCTGGTGAGAAGAGTAATAAATCATGCACACCAGGTTAAACCAGGTTATTAAAAATGTATTAATAATGATGCAACACAAAATAAACAGCACACACCACAAATGTACAACATGCACGTCACACTGTTTATAAACAAGGTGTCTTGAAGGCCTAAATCCTGACCAACCAGAAGAACCCCAGACTGCTACCAAGTATTCAAATCCAATATACTGTATACAATTCCAATATACCAATATACAATATGTAACAGGCCCAAAATGGAGATGAACCTGCCTTCTGCACCAAACAGAATATAACCTAGATTTTAATTTCTCTCCCTATAATCCCAATTCTACAAAGTGAATGGGAAACATGTCTCCCTATTCCAGTAACAGGAGAGGCCGTTTTTAACTTGGGGATTCTAAGTACAGGAAATCTGAGTTTCCTAAAAACAACAGAATGGCAAGCTCACTTAACAAGGCACCAATAGTTAATGTGAATCTGGTCTTAAAGGCTGTTCTGAACAAGGAACCCCCCCTCTTTCTCCTCTCCCTTGCGACTTGCTGCCCATCCTCTTATGTCCTTCCTCTCTTTCTGCTCCTTATTCATGTCCTTCCTTCTCTGCTCCTTCTCTTCTCTGTCCTTCTACCTGCCTGTTTTTGTCTTCTGTTCCTGGACTATTGATAACTTTAAATGATTTACCCAGACCGTAATTAACCAAGGTAAACCAGACAGTTATTTTGAGCCATTTTTATCTTAGACCTTTTGTCTTAGACCCAGGTAAAGACTTGAGTTCCTTTCTTAGCCACCTAGATTCTTCAGAAACCTCATTAACCACTTCCAGTGATGTAACACCAGCAAGTGAAGGGATAATATGTGCAGAGATTAATTGGTTGCACTGTTGTCAGTTTATGAGGAATTAACCTTCAGGTGTTTGCCTATCTGGGACCATTTCCTATAGGGATTATCTCTTAATCTCTGAATTCCATCCACTGCACAAAAGGAAGTGAGCAGCAGACATTGTCCAAACTGCCTTTTCCTTTTGCTATCCATCTCTAAGTTTCCTGATGTAATTTCAGGAAGTTCCACAGGACAAGATGACAAACAGTACAAATGTGTCACAGAAGGGAAGGGAATGTTGAGATCCTGGTAGCATAAACTGCCAGTGTTGGAAAACATTAACTGAATTGGAGTGACTGCATGAGTATTGTTTTCCACCTATAGTTAGGTCTGTGGTGTCAGAAAGTGCTGTACTTTGTATTCAATGTATGCAAACTGGCATAGGCTTTTGAGATACAATTCGGTTTTGGATCCAGATCTAACCCTAGTTTCTTCACAAGACCTAGCTCGTAGTGCTCCCACTGTGGTGCATGTTTGAAGCCCCTCAGCACACTTCATAGAGCTGGTCACAGCTCATTTGTGAATCTCTGGTGTGGTGATTTCTCTTGCTGTAGATACCATTTGTCCTTTTCAGAAACTGTCATCTTGATTTACATTTATCTTTTATTTGTTGGAACTCTGATAATTTATTTCTCTAGGTTGTACCGTAGTTGAAGACTTGGACATTATTCTGGACATTTCTCTTTAGTTGCAGACTCTTCACTTGATAGATTGCAGAATATTTTTTTAACATGCTTGTATCTTGGAGAGCTTACAGTCGCACAATGTGATTTCTGCAGTCTGGCTGTTTGCAAGGCAGGTTGAAGGAAGCAGAGCTGAGCACAGCCTGTTCCTGGAGGATATACAGACTCTGTGACCCTCGTTAGGTAAACTGGAGCCATTTGTTCCATACAACGTGACGCCTTGTAAGCTTTTCTTGGCTCTGAAAAGCTGCTTATTGGGCCTGATCTTTGGTTTGATAAAAACACGTGTCGGTGCACGTTTCCACTGGAGTAACCACGACTAATATAGCCAGACTGGCCAATGTGAGAGTCGCAGGTCACAGGGGAGAAATGGCTTAGAGCTTAGGACAGTAACAGCTGATAGAAAGGCACAAACATTATATATTAACTGAATGTGGATATTTTTAAGCAGTGTGCCGTCTACAGAGATGTTTTGTTATTATCTTTATTATAATTAAAACTGTGAAA